CTTACACACTCCCATTGCCCCCTTCCCCCCGCCCCGGCGACCGCTAGCTACTTTGTCTCCGTCCGTGCATTTGCCGACCCTAGGTCCTCCTGTGAGTGGAATCATGCAGTATTTGTCTCTCTGTGGCTGGCTTCTTTCGCTCAGCACAGGTTCTACAAGGTTCTTCCCTGTTACCGCAGGTGTCCGAACATCTGTCCTTTTTTGGGCTGGATAACATTCCATGGAACATATGCACTCCTGTCTTAGTCCGTTTGGGCTTCTATGACAAAATACCACAGACTTGGGGGCTTATAAATAACAGAATTTCATAGCTTACGGTTCTGGAGGCTAGAAATCCAAGATCAGGGTGACACCATGGCCAGGTGAGAGACCTCTTCTGGGTCGCAAACATCTCACCGTGTTCAGAAAGGGCAGGGAGCTCTCTTGGGGTCTCCTCTAAGAACATTAGTCGCCTTCATGAAGGTTCCACCCTCCTGACCTAAGGACTTCCCAGAGGCCCCACCTCCAGATGCCATCAATGCCGGCTTTAGGATTCCAACTAATGAATGGGGGGCATGGCCGGACACAGACTTCAGACCATAGTGCCCACATTCTGTTCATCCATCCATCCATCTATTCATCTATCGATAGTCACTTGGGTTTCTTCCACCTTCTGGCTTTTGGGAATAATGCTGGCTGTGAGCATGGGAGTGCAAAGACATCTCTGAGTCCCTCCTTTCACTCCTCTGGGGGTAGCTGCCCAGACGTGGAATTGTGCACCGGATGACAATTCTCTCCATCACTTGGAGAAGCCGTGGTACTGTTTTCCATAGGGGCTACACCATCCTACCTTCCCACCAACAGGGCACGAGGATTCAGTTTTCTCTGTATCCTCCCCAACACGTACCAGCTTTTTTGTTCATTTTTACAGTCACCATCCTTATAGGTCAAGCCTAGAAGCAATTTGAACTCAGAAGTCATTGCACCTTTTTGCTTGCATCCCTTCAACAGGGTGGCAGGGACTGGCAGCCTTGTCCAAGTGCGCCATTAAATTTTCAATTCCTGGGCGTCCTGCTTCCCCTGCCCACCCAGCATCTCTTGTGCCTTCGGGCCTTCCTTCCACCAGTTTGGGCTTCATCCTGCTACCCCCCAACTGGAGGTAGAGGTGCTGAGACTCCGGGGAAGGCCCCACATTCATACCCAGAGGAGGGACAGTGTCAGACAACCAGCTTCGTCCAGAGGAGGGAACACCTGCTTCATCACCTCCTCTCCTCTGCCTTCGGCCCACTTCTTCTGTCCCCTTCCCCGAACCTCCCACAGCTGCCTTTCAGGAGCAAACACTCCTCGAGGCAGGGCGACGCCGTGCAAAGGGCCAGAAGATCTGCAGACCTGCGGTCAAACCCTCAGTTTCAGCTCCACTTCAGACCAGCCAGCCGGGATGGATAAGGGGCCGGTGGGGAAGCAGAGGGGCTGCTGGGAGTCCCACCTCCAGCCCTGACTCCTCCCAGGTAAGCGGGCTCCGCCTCTCTGAGCCTCAGTTTCCTCTTCCGTAAAATGGGGTGTTTGTTTCCCGAGACGGCTGGTTAGTGGCTGAAAAACAACACACACTTGTTCTCTCGCAGTTCTGGAGATCACAAGTCTGAGATGGGTCTCGCTGGGCCAGAGTCAGGGTGTTGCGAAGCCTGTGGTCCTTTGGGAGGCTCAGAGGGAAAGTCTGTTTGCTTATGTTTTCCCGTGTGGAGGGGCCCCTTTCTCTTATCAGAGCCGGTGAGGTGTCCTCTTCAGCGCTGACACTGAGCCTCCTGTCCCCTCTTTGACTTCTCAGGATCCCGGGGTTACAACAGGGCTTACCTGGATATCCAGGATCCCCTCCCTAGTTTCAGGGCAGCTGAAACACAACCTTAATGCCCCCTGCTCCCTTCCTCGCCCTCGCTGTAACAGAACCAAGTCACAGGGTTAGGACATGGCCACCATCCGGAAGCCACTATTCTGCCTCCCACGGGGGATGGCACCTACTACCCCCCCCACCAGGATAAATGAACTAAGCCATGTCACAGCACATGTCGCAAAGTAAGCCCCTGTCCGCGTTCACCAGCGGCATTGGTTAGAACATGGGCGATTTCTCCCCAAGGGAGAACAAAAGCTGCACGATCACGAGCTGAGTCTCCATTTTCTTATCTGGGAAATGGGTGAGTCTCCCGCCTCTGTGGGGGGCTGAGCTGTCTGTACTCATCAGGAGCAGCTTCCTGGGGCTTAGCTCGGTGCAGCACGCAGCTGGGGTTCAGAGGGTGGTGAATGCTGAGCATTTTTCTCCGGAGTTGACCATCTGCAGAGAAGTTGGTCCGTGAAGCCTCATTCCTCGGGTCTCGCCTTCGTGCTTTCTCCTGGGTCAGCTCAGCCCCCGCACAGGTGGGGCTCGGGTTGGGATTAGGGCTCTGGCTGAGAGCTTGTGACCTTAGGATCTTGGTGTTTCTGCCTTGATTCTATACATACGTGGACCTGCTTGCCTGCAGTAAGGAGTAGGGGACAGACTCAAGTAAAGGCTTCTCAGCCATCTCCTTGGGGTGACCCGGCTACTGAGGCTTCGCCCTCCACTGAGGGCGGTGGGGGTGGGGGGAGTGATGTGCTCATCGGCCAGGCTTGGGTCACAGGGCCACCTTGGAGCCAAGCCGTGGAGGGAGTCTCTCCCTGTCACCTGCCTGTTTTCCCCAGAGGTGGACCTGGTCCCCCTTCTCTGTCATCCTTCTAATCTTCCTTCATGCTCATTGTCACACGTCTCCCCAGGGAGTGTGCAAGCCAATCCCCAGAAGGGCTTAAGAGTTGACTCCTCATGAATGCATCCTTCTGCTGTTATCTTGGGTGGCAAGACATTCCTTTATTCCCCCAAGCCTCAGTTTCTTCATCTGCAAAATGGATGCAGTAACGAAGCCAGGTGCCTGGTAGGGTCGTAAGGAGGGTTGAAGGAGCTAATTTCCAGGAGGGTGTGGTGCTGAAAAGGGTGCATTTGCTCCCACCTTGTTACCTCCTGTGACCCCGGGAACGCACCAGAGGCGGCGCCATGGAGCTCTGACTCTGGAGTTTGGCACTCAGGGCCTCAGTCCTGCCTCCTTGGTTGGTCTGAGCCTCTTTTTTCCGAGCAATAAATGGGGTTTGCGTCCCTGCCTAGGGATGCCTGTTAAGAGCCTGGCACTGAGGGCTGGTGAATAATGGCTGTGCTGATTTTCCTGATAATGACAATCTCCAAGGGGAACCTGGCATCAGATCTCTGGGTTCAGTGTTGCTGTGGTGTTGCCTTTCTGGGCCTCAGTTTCCCCGTCTGTAAATGGCACCTCAGCTGTGAGCGGTGAGTGACAAACAGCGCTTTTGTCCTTCACCTCAGCCCACGCCTCCCTCTGAACCACAGAGCTGCGGTTCAGCCTTTACTGACAAAAGACAGTTATTCAACGCTACACTCTGAGAGTCTTGGCATCTCCTGAACACGGGGTCTTCATTGGCAACAACTCAAACACCTTAACTTGTCGAGGGTCACATCCCACAAAGCCACTGAGCGGTCCTGCTCAGATGGCCAGCACCAGGCTGTGTCTCAAGGTGATGGCTGCTTGGCAGAAAGTTCCAGAACTAGATAGCAAGTACTTCAAGATGGTCCTTTAAGACAAGCCCCAGGCTTGAGCCCTCCAGGCGGCTGTCTGGTGAAGAGTCTGGTCCTCGGGTTTGGGGATGCCCAGACACAGGAGCCGGACATCCAGCTGGTCAAGAGGGGACAGTGGTCCGAACCACCACTGCACTTCTTGGCATCGATGGGGCTGGAGGGTCCTTCTCTTTTACCTTCTCTTTTCCCGGACCCACTCTCCTATCCCTCCCACCCATGGTCTGCAGAATCCACCACTTGTGAAATCAGTAATTGGTAATGAGAGGAAAAAAAAAAAAGAAAGAAAGAAAGAAAGAAAGAAAACCACATAAAAACAGCCGTAGGGCAAGGAAGAGGCAAGCAGGTGCCAATAAACACACCACCTGGCAGCTTCGTCAGCCCTCTCACCACGCAGGGCAAGCTCTACATGGTCCCCTTTGCTTTTTTTCCCATCAGTGTCTTAAATCCCAGCACGAATGGCCCCCGCCATCCTTCCCATTCCCATCCCGGTCTCCCCTTCGGAAGCCCCCAAGCCTGGAGTGAGGTACACTCCTGTCCTCTTGGGTGCATGTGGGAAGAAATCTGGATCATGACCAAGCAGTCAGAGACGTCTCTGGTCTCTGATTTAGAAAAAGAGGATGTCCCATAGTATCCCAAGAGCTTTTTGTTCCAAAAAAGCAGCCCAAGGCTCTAAGAGCCCGTTGTCGCCATGAGCCCCTGGAGAAATTTAGGAGGAAGGGTTGCCGGGAGGCAGGCAGGGACCAGGGACTCTCATTCCGGGGCCGGGGTCCTATCGTTGCTGCAGAGCGGCTCCAATAAATATAAATAAAGGTACACGGGGGCCCAGGGCCCAGCATGGCGCAGGATCTGTTGTGTGCAATGGCCTGCAGGAAAAGCAGGGCTGGAGGGTGGGGGGCTCATGCCCGTCCCGGAGTTCAGCCCGGGCCCGGCCAAGGGGAGCTGATGGTTCTGCTGGTTCTGCTCCTGGCCTCGGGAGGCCCGAGTGGATGCTTAGCCCCAGAGGAATGACTTCAAGGGCCTCCCTGCCGGAGAGTTCCCATGGCGCACCAATGCGTCCCATCTCAAAGGTGGGCTGCAGGTCCTCTCAGAAGCCCAGTGGGGGTGCAGGCTCCAGAAATCTCATTCTCAGAAGTCACTCTCTGGGAGGAGCGTTGTGGGGGGGAGGTCATTGAGGTCAGGGGAAGCTAGTGTGCCTGTCCATTCTCCTCTGTCCTTCTGACCTGGGGTGGCGGGTGTTTGCCCAGAAGGCCTCCTGTGGGGGAGTGAGAGGGCCAGGAGCGCCAACAGGTGGAAGAGGCCTCACTTCCTGGTACACCGGGCTCCGGGGAGCTCTCTGTCAGGGGCTGGGGTGGGGGCAGGCAAGGCTGTCACCTCAAAGCAGGGCTATGGGCTTGTTCCCTGGGGCGCCCAGGTACTGGGAGGAGGAGGTGGTGGCTGACGCGGTCACGCTGTCTGGGGTCGAGTACGAGGCATAGAGACCCGTCACCTGCAAGTCTGGGAAGGACTGGTCGCTCCCGCCGGAGACGGGGGTCAGGCCTGAAGCCCCCAGCTCACAGCCAAGGGGAGAGTCTCCGAAGGCCCCCAGGGTGTCCAGGCTGAAGCCCCCATCCTTCATCTCTTCCCAGAGGTTCCCTTTCAAAGACAAAGGCATTTGGGTGAGCTGGCTTCAGGACAGACAGACCTGAGATCGAGTCCTGTCTTAAGGAATAGGCAAAGACCATGTGTAGGGTTCAAAGTCAGCGATTGCAGGGGAGGGGGCATGGAGAAGACAAGTTCCAGCCCCAGCCCGCCCCCTTCCCACTGGGCATCCCGGGGAGTGTCGCTTCTGAGCCTCAGGCTCCTTGGGATGAGTGGAGACAATCAGAGACTCCATCCCCCTCCCCCCCACCCCTGTTATCCTCCCAAGGTTTCAACAGGGGAATGTGTAGAAACATGGACTCTCCCTCAGGGTTCCCACCATGGCCCAGACTGGCGACAAAACAACAATTTCCCTACATAATAATCCAGGGGGACAGGCAGGGAGGGCAGAATATACCCTTTCACAGCTGTAAATAACACCCTCACTAGCTAACTCACAAACCTGCTAACCAGTCCATTCCCTCTCTAAACAGAGAACTCCCAGAGGGCAGGGGCAGGGAGGAGTCCTCGGCCCTTGGCTGGTGCACGGTAGGAGCTCCCATGTTGTGAACAGACAAATCATAAGACACTTCCCTTGTCCATGCAGTCATTCGATCAGCTCTGATATGCCAAGCACGACTGAGGGGCAGGCAGTGGGTCAGAGCGTGACCTGGCCTATGGCTGGCACACACACACTGAAGTGGTTACTGAGTAAAAGCTGGGGGTCAGACAGCCCTGGGTGGAGGTATCGCTCTGCCCCTTACTAGCCCGGTGACCGTCAGGCCAGCGACCTCACTTCTTTGTCTCATCTCCTCAGCAGCAGAATAGGGACAGGAAATGGCAGTGGCCTGCCAGGACCATTGCATGGTGGGACTGGGGTGATGGCTAGGGCATACAGTAAGCACTCATGAAACGCTTGCTATAATTCACCAGCATGAGGCGCTTGGGAAGTACTTGTCCAAGGAATGAGCTGAGGGGTAAATGCAGACGGACCTCCTCTCGCTTGCCCGCCCCCATCTTTCTGGCCCTCCAGCTTCTCCCACCCCCACCATCCCCTTCTGTCCCGCCCTACCCCTGTTCCTGTAGCCTCACCCTGCAGAGCGAAGTCCATGATGCTGGGGTCCAGGGCGTCCACCTCGGTGCTCATGTCGGTGCTGATGTTGATGAAGTCCATGGGGGCCCTTCCCAGGGCAGGATGGGGCAGGGGGCTGGGGCTCAGGTCCGGCAGGGCATGCAGGGGCGGGGTCTGTGCTGGGGCTGGAGAATCTGGGGCCAGATGTGCCTGGGGCTGGACCTGGTGGTGCAGGGGGACTGACTGCAAGGACAGGGTCACCAGGGGCTGGGGTGGGAGCTGGGAGACAGCCAGGCAGCCGTGGGCCATGGCCACCGTGGCGGCATGAGTCAACACAGTGGTCTCGGGGTTGCCAGGCCGTCTGCAGCTTTCTGGTCGGTCCGAGATCAGTTTGTCCAGCTCCTCTGCAGGCAAGGGAGAGGTCGCTCAGCAGCCGGCCTGCAGTTCCCAGCCCCCCATGTTAGCATGCCTGTAACCCTAGCAATTCCCTTAGATTCTCTGAACCTCGGTCTCTTTGTCTATATGAGAGGGCACCGTACACTCTGCACAGTGCTGTTGGGGAAATGTCATGAAATCACAGATTGCATAGGGTCTTCGAGGAATGAGGGAGCCTCACATAACAACAGTACGTCCTCTCTTTGGGACAGTGCTTTAGCTCAAGGACGTCCCTGAAGCTAACAGCTCTGCAAGAGGAAGCAAGGCAGAGAGGACAGGTCCCACGACATTGGGACAAAATGTATGAACGCACAAGGGGTCCTAGCCACTCCCTGCTACTAAAGAGACATTAGGTGTTACTGTGGGTTGAAAATTGGATCCTCCTTAATGCTCTTGGTTATAAACAAGAGAGATGATTACTCTGAAATTATATCTGGTTGGTGGCTTGAGTCTCCTTAAATGTCACACCAGTTTGAGACTGGACCACCAGGGTTCCGAGACCTATCTAAGATGGCACACATTTTAGAAAAGAGGACACTTATGGGAGCCGGGGTGGCTCAGTGGGTTAAGCGTCTGCCTTTGGCTCAGGTCATGATCCCAGGGTGCTGGGATCGAACCCCAGTGTCAGGTTCCTTACTCCACTGAGGGCCTATGGGATCACACCATGGTCCCCTTTTCCTCACTTTTTCGAATTATTCATCTCTGAGCTACACCCCCATCCTCCTTCATACCCAAACCTCAAGCATGATGATCCTCACAGAATTAGGCCAAATATTCCTGAGGCTGGGTGGGATTAACCTTCCATTGGACATTTTCCAATGATGTCACTTCTATGTCCCTCCTCGTCACATCTCTTAATTAACAAAAAAAAAAGCAGATGCAGTATTTTTTTGCTAATGTAAAAGTACTTCATGGACAGGGTTGAAGATTCGGAAAATACAGGAACATGTGAAGAATATAAAAATTACCAGTGGTCTCTTCATTCACAGTCAAGAGTCTGGCATATTTCTTCTAGTCTCTCTGCATGTTTATGTGTGTGTCCATACACATAAATCCACACACATATAAATGAGTGGCTACACACACACATTTAAATATATGTGCATTTACTATATATTTAAAAATATGATTAGGCTGTGTTATATTGTCTTTTTTCACTTTTTGTATTGGGAGTATTTTTTTCTATTCCAAAAATATTCTTTTTTTCTTTTAAGATTTTATTTATTTATTTGACAGAGAGATTACAAGTAGGCAGAGAGGCAGGGAGAGAGAGAGGGGGAAGCAGGCTCCCTGATGAGTAGAGAGCCTGATGCGGGGCTCGATCCCAGGACTCTGGGAACATGACCTGAGCCGAAGGCAGAGGCTTAACTCACTGAGCCACCCAGGCACCCCTCAAAAATATTCTTGCATCTCATCCTTGCATGGTATGACATTATATCTATTTAACTAATTGCCTGTCTAAATTGCTTTCAATTTTTTACTAGTAGAAATAATTTTGTGGGCCTCCTGAGTGGCTCAGTGGGTTAAGCATTTGCCTTCGGCTCAGGTCATGTTCCCAGGGTCCTGGGACTGAGCCCCTTGTCAGGTTCCTTGCTCCACAGAGAGTCTGCTTCTCCCTCTGCCCCTCCCCCCTGCTCATGCTCTCCCTCTCTCTTGCATGTGCTCTCTCTCTTTCAAATCTTTAAAATAACTTTGTCTGTAAACCTTTTGTTGGAATTTTTTATATCCTCAGCATACATTACCAGAAGTAAAATAACTGGACCAAAAAAGTAGGGGACAGTTTGCAGGGTTTTTATATATTATTTTGCCTTGGAAAAGTTTAACTGAGAATCTCACCTATCCTATTATGAAGGTGCCTGTTTCTCCACATCTTAGCCCACACTGGGTGTTATTATTTTATTATTTTATTGTTTTGAAACTTGGTGCCAAGGCAGTAAGCACAGTAAGAAAGCGATGTCCTCCCATGGTTGCTTAGTTTGGCATTTCTCTGTGAGAAACTAGGAGCTGTGTTGGGAGACTGAACAGCTTTCCACAGGCCTCTGATCAGACCCCTCCGTTGACTTGCCCCAGGGGAGGCATGTTTCCCGGGAGGAAAGGAGGAAAGTCCACCAGGCGCCCGTGTCCCCACCAGCGAGGCCAGGTCCTATGGGCAGGGACATGTGTTGTGGGTGGCAGTGGGGGTGTCTAGGCCTCACCGGGGTTGGCCATGCTCCGGTGGATGGCGGCAAGGTCCTTTCTCTTCCACTTGTACATCTCCTCCTCCATCTTGTCAATGCGGGCCAGGTTAAGGGCCCACAGGCAGCCCTTGCGTGAGGAGCCACTCATCTTGTTCTCTACCTTCTCGAAGCACTTGTTCAGGGACAGGTTGTGTCTCACCGAGTTCTTCCAGCCATCGGGAGCTGTCTGTGGGGACAGATGGACACACAGATGTCCTCAGAGCCCTCCCCGTAAGCCCTTCCTCTCCAGGGGCATCTCAGACACAGGCATGGCAGTGGTGGGGTGAAGTGAGTCTGAAGCCCGGCCTTGAGTTAGGAAGACAAGAGAGACTGGTGGGGACTGTGGCTCACCAGGAGGGCCACGCCCTTTTAAAGGGGCAGCCGCATATGAGCTCCAGCCAACAGTTACTATGTGAGAACAAGCCCAGGGATGCCGAATCGTCCCCTCCTTCTCTCCTCCTTAGGAAGCAAGAGAGAAAGAGGATGCTATCATGCGGATAACTGACCAAGTATATTCAGTCGTGTTTCAATGCTCATACTTAATTGTTAGGTAATCAGATACTACGGTGCAGCTCACATTCTAGCCCCTGCCCCCCGCACTCGCACACACCACCGTCTGCAATATTTCTGCAAGGGACCCTGTCCAAGTCAGGGACCCTGCAGCTTGGTACCCTCTGACCTCCTGCTCCTTATTTCCCTTTGATGCCAACAAAAATCATGTTCGTGATGGCCAGTCACATGCCAGGAGCTGCCACAGCCCTTTACCGGCAGAGTCCTCACTCCCCGGGCCAGCTGGCTCTCATTCTCCCCATCTTACAGATGAGCAAACCGAGGTTCAGAGAAGCAACAGCTCTTGCCACATCTGTGTTATGCATCAGGGTGTTTCAGGGAGTCTGTGAGGAATCACTAAGCTGACCCCGCCATCCTCTGCCCTCCCCCACTCCGGGATGCCCGGTGAACTCTGTCTCTGGGCAGAGTCCGGCTCCAGGGCCCCCTCTTCCTTCTGGGCTTCTTTGGCCATGCCTGTGTGAATGCACAGGTGTCTATGGGCGTCACTGGTGACCTAAGACAGTGACCCATTTTGGTCTGGGGCCGTGTGAGGGAGAGGCCAGAGCAGCTGGCCTCTTAACACCCCTACACTCCACTGGGGCCCCTCACCTTGAAGTAGGGGAAGTGCTCCTTCATGAAGCTGTAGATCTCACTCACGGGCAGGCTGCCTGTCTTGCTGTTCTTCAAGGCCATGGCGATCAGACAGCTGGAGGTGAAGGGTGGGGCAGGCCAGGGGTAAAGGGGTCTCAGGCTGACAGCCCAAGGTCCCCTCTGCCAGGAAGTCTGCCCTGCTTGATCTCATCAGTACCAGCCCTTCCATACTCAAATGGTGTTAGCTCTGGTACCTTTCCATGGCCCTAGGTCTTGCCCACACCTTGCCCTTCTCCTTGACCCTGAGCTTAGACAGTGGTACCAGTCTGAGAAAACTCTTTTCCTCTCTTTATTCCTTCCCCATAGTGAATATCTGTGGGCCTTTAGACTTAACTAGGCTGCTTACCACCCACCCCCCACTCTTGCAGGATACACAATATTATTTTGATGGCTTTTTACATCAGAGGGAATTAAGGCTCAGAGAGGCCAAGCCGCTTCCCCGAGGCTGCGTGGTTTGGGAATGACAGAACAGAGTTCTCCACCCTGGGAGCTGATCCTTCCTAGAGCACGTCCCTTCTGGGGGCTCCCCACTCGCCAAAAGCTCCCCCCCCTTGCAAGTCTGAGCTGTCCTAAAGGCAGCCCTAGCCCCTCTCCTCCCCTACCCACCCCCACAGCCGCAGCCCATCCCGGACCTCACCTGTATGAGTAGATGGGCTTGGGGTAGTGTTTGGGGTGCAGTTCCTGAGATGAATGGACAGCCATGCGGGGCTGGGGGTACAGAGACCGTGCTCCAAATGGGGAGCCATACAGGCTCACGGGAGGGCACTTCCCACAGCCAGAGGAGGGAAGCGTGGCAGAGAAAGAAGGTAAGAAAGGACATAAGCCACTCACAGGAACACTACCCCACCCCAGGCTCGCTTTTTAGGAGATGCTATTTAGCAAGATGTGAAGTCGCCGGCCCCAGGAGACAATCCTATCTCTCTCTGCTCCTTGCGGGGGTTTTCGGGAACCCAGTGAACAACTCCATGGGCATGGCGAAAGCTATCCCTGTGTTGCAGGGGAGTAAACTGAGGCTCAGAGAGGTTCCCGGCCAGCCCAATGCAGGGAGGTGTGTCTCCGAGTCTAGGACCCTCCTCCCAGCCCCCTGTACCTGCTGCAGGCCTGCGGGGAGTGGTAACTGTGTCTGGGGGGTGGACGAGTACAGCTGTGGCGAGTCCTGCAGGCCGGATGAGGGCTGGCTTCCCACAGGGATCTGGCTCACCTGCAGGGGCCCCAAGAGGAGATAGAGGAGGTTAGGGTGAGGGTAGGTCAGCCCTGCCCTGGAGGACCCCCACTCGAGCTCCCTGACCCCCACAGTGATGCTTACAGTGTCTCCGTGATTGGCTATGGGGCCCAGGCCGAGAATGCCTGGGGGGGCCACGCCAGCCGGGCCGTGGAGCAGGGCACCTGCAGTAGCTCCCACGTGCAGGTCAGCCGCCCTGGCCAAGGCACCTGCAAAAGGGAAGCACGGAGAGGCTGCTGGGCCAGAAGGATGGGGTCCACGGGCAGAGCGGCTCCATCCCTGGACACCACCAGAGGACAGAGCCCCCACCCCCACCCTTGGGACCAGGTGCATGGCAGGTGCTTGGCAAATCACCACTCAGAGTGCAGTGCTGAGCCGTGGGTTCCTACCAGCTGTGTGACCTGGGGCCTGCCTCGGTTTCCCCATCTGTACAGGGGAGCTCCCGAGATCACCTACATATGAAGTTGTTGTGGGGGTTTAAGGGAGGTCATGTCTATACAGTGCTTATCACGTTGCTGGCTACACGACCACATCTCAGTAAACAGGAGTCAGTAACTAATAATAATGATGATGTCATTAGTATCTTGGTTCTTGTCCATTGTGAAGCCCAAACATCAACTCATTGTTCAGCTCTCCTCCTCAGAATCATATCTTGGTTCCCAGGGCCACCAGGCTTCGCTCTGAATGCCTTTGTGCCTCCTCTACCCTCTGCCAAGTCCTGCCCCTAAGCTAGCGGATGTCCTCACGCCTGCATGCCAGCCACCCAGTCCTAGGCCCGGGAAAGACACTGCTCATCTATCACAGATCCTCACCACCATTCTGCTTTAGGGCTACCTTTTAGATTAAACCAAGCTGACCTGCAAGATGATCCTGCCCTAGGGCCACTTCTTCCAGGAAGCCTTTGGGGTTCCTCGGCTCTCTTCTGAGTCCTGGGCACCACCTGGGCTCATCCGTGGTGCCTTTGGTCTGTCTGCCCTGCCCTCTCTTGGACCAGACCCTCAGCTCCCTGAGAACTAGGACCACATCTTGTATGACCCATAGAGACAGGAGTGTGGGAGGGGTGTAGCCACCCAGGGGAGAAGGGACGGGCTTCCTTCTTTCATGCTTCCCATCTCTTGTGTGCCATACAACATCTACTGTGTGTCCAAGGCACTTTTGGCATTGAATCTTTTCAACACCCCAGAAGGGCAGCTCTGCTATCCTTTTGTTGCAGATAAGAAAATAAGTCAGAGGGGAAAGTACTTGCCCAAGGTCACGGATCTGGAGGTTCTAGATCAGGGTTTGGCAAACCCTGATCCAGCAAAGACAGATCCAGCCTGTGCCATGTTTTTGTAAATAAAGTTTTATTGGTACACAGCTATGCCTGTTCATTTACATTGTCTGGGGTTGGGATTGTACTATAGGAACCCTACGGCCTACGGAGTCTAGATATTGACTACATGGCCCTTTACAGAAAGAGTTTGCAGACCACTGCTACAGACGTTTTGGCCAAGAACAATTTGTTCAATGAAATAAATATTCCTAGACCCTAATTTGTCATCTATTGGCACTTTTAATGTACCTTGATGATTGTTTTCAACACTTCCTGTGTCGCTATTTTGTCCACTTGCTATCACAGCACCTAGCTGCCATTTATTGAGCACCAACTGTGTGCCAGGACTGTCAGCACCTTCCAATGTATCCTCTCTCTGAAGATTGGAGTTCCGTAGGCTTCTTCAGTAAGGGGCCAGATAGCAAATATTTGAGGCTTTGCCGGCCGTATGGTTTCTGTCTTTGGGTTTTTTACAACCCTTGAAGAATGCAAAACCATTCTGAACACAAGGGCAATACAAAAAACGGGCTGCAGGTTGCAGGCTGCCTTTGGCCTGCAGGCTGTCGTTTGCCAACTGCTTCAGCTGTTCACAAGCGGGGAAGGGGCAGAGAAGGGGCTGTCTTTATTTGTCACTGAACCTCCTGAGCTCACCCACAGCCTGGCACATGCTGGTGAGCACACGAATGCCCCCATCCCTCCGAAGAAGGTGTCATCAGGCATGTTTTGAAAATGCAGTAAGAGGCTCAGAGAGTGAGAGACCTGGTCACAGTCACCCAGCTGCTGGGGGGCAGTGCTGGGCGGTGCCCCTCCCCATCCCACCCCACCCTTGTGCCTACCTGGGTGTGGGGGCGGCACACCGGGGCCACCCAGGTCCATGCGGCCACTCGCCATCTGCTGCAGCCGTGGCACGTCCACCGCTGTGAGCCATGACAGGGACTGCAGGTCCCCAGGAAGGTCATCATCACTGCAGGTAGCCAGGAGCCTACAGGGAGGGGCAGGAGCTCGGGCGGGGCGGGGAGCTCAGGTCGGCTCCTGGCAGGGTAGGGGGGGCACCCCTCCACCTCTGGAATCATCCCTGGCCCCTCTCCTCCCTGAGCCACCCTCATGTGTCCATCTCTTGGGCTAGGTGTGGTCCCCAGATCCCCACTTTGGCAGCCAGATCCCACATCCTCAAATCATGCCTGTGTTTACTGTATCTTACCTTAGCCCCTACCTAGCCCCCAAATAATAAACACTAATGTTTGTTGAACACTTACTATGTGCCAGACACCATATCAAATCCTTCATGGGTTGTAAGTCATTGAACACTCCTCACCCCATGAGGCAAACGGTAGTGGTAGTATTCCCATTTTACAGATGGGGAAACTGAGGTGAGGAGCTCGGTGTTCAACAGGCACAGTCCTTTTCAATCCTGTTCAATCCCTGCAGCAGCCCTGAGAGGTCGGATACGCCCACAGGTCCCTCTCGTATTTGGGGAAACTGAGGTTTAGAGCGCTGAGTCGATTGCCCAAAGCTACACATAACAAGAAGTGGTGGGGCTGGGACCCAGGCAGCCAGGCCTGAAGCCCAAGCTCTTCACCATGTCCCCAGCAGCCCCTGGAGACCCCCTATAGGACCCATGTCCACCACCCCTCTACAGACTCTCCACAGAAAGAGAAAGGCTACCGACTGGGAATGGCAGGCAGGTCCCCCCAGTGTGGGGTAAACAGGCCTCCCCAGGACCCCTAAAGTCATGCTTGCCACATGGCTCCAAGGACCCTGGGCTCCCACGGCAGTGTCTTGTCCACAGGATAAGGTGGCTGCAAACTGGCCCAGAGCCCACGCCAGACCCACCAGGCCACCAGGCCAGGGCCCTTCTGGAGTATGGCCCAGAGGTCCCCAGTCCACATTCTGAGAGCCACGGTTTAAGAAAAGTCTCAGGGCTTCCTAGAAAGAGGGGGAGAGAGAGAGCAGCGCAGCCTCCAGCCTTGTCCCCTGTGGGGCATGGGACCCACCATGGGGCATCCGTCTCAGCGCCCCCTGGGCCTCCTTCCAGCTGGAGGGCTCTCCCCCCGCTGTCCCGCTGTCCCTCCTCGCCTTTTCTCTCCCCCCTCCTTCCCACCTCGCCCGTGCTCGCTCTCTCTCCTTCTGTTTTAGGGCCACAATTAGCGTTGCCATGGCCACAACTGCTCCTTGGTGCGGGGCCTGGGCCCTCAGCCCACCAGGCTGGCATCAGGTGACCGTCAGGCTGCCCCAGCCATTGGCTGCCTTGTAGGAAAACAGGGCCTGGAAACGATTTGAAAACCCGGCCGGCCGTGTCAGCAGCAGCAGTTGGCCTGGCTGCTGTCCCCCGGCGGCCCATTGTGCGACAAACGACTGTTGCCCCCGTGGCACGTGGCCCCCATTGTCCTAGGGTCTCTGTGCCATTGTCGTTGTGGCCCCCCACCCCACCCCCGGCTGCCACTCCTGCAGCCTGCTCGTAACTCATCTGGAGAGGGACAGCCACAGCCCAGGCCTAGGCGATGCCATCTGTCCCCTCAGGCCCGTGGAGACCATGGGGTGAGACTGAGGGGCAGGGCCTGGTGTGCCGCCCACCGCATGCATGGGGGTGTCTGGCCGGTCCCCATCCACCCCAGGACTGGCCGACCTCCCAGAGTCTGGTGGTGCGAGCCCTGCTCCTGCTCCCTTACCTGCTGTAGCTCCCCATTGCCTCTGCTGCTCTGTCTGGCTCTGGGGCAGCAGGAAGGAATGGAGATGAGCTGCTGCTGGCAGGTTTCTGAAGCCAGAGCCCCACCAAAGCCCCCTGAGTGGTACTGGGGGGAGCTTGTAAACAAACTGGCTTTCTGGGTGCAAGCAGGGTCTCTGCCGGCCGGTGACTGACAGATCGTCCTCAGAGTGGTTAAGAGCTCAGGCTCTGGCTTCCAATCCTAGTCTTCACTTACCGGTGTACCAGGGCCACTGACTTGGTCTCTGTGAGCCTCAGTTTTTCATCTGTAAAATAGAGCTAATAACACTTCCTTTCTCCTAGGGTGTCAGGGGGATTCAGCAGTGATCACACAGAAAGCCCTTGGAACGGTGTCTGACTCAGCTGCCACCAAGATTCATTCATACCAGTATTAATGTTACTATTAGCCAGGTCCCCAGAGAACTGGAAGTCTGTGGAAGCTTTGGGCTCTGTGGTCTCAAGGACCCGCCTCTGTTGCTGCAACCACCAGCGGCTCCCGTGTGTTGAGCACTGCCTGTATGCTCTCTCCCCATTCTGCAGATAGAGAAACTGAGACCCCCAAGCAGTCACTTAAATGCCTAAGAGCCTGTTTCCCCACGAAGGGAGGATCGCAGAAGGTTAACGATGCTGCTGAGCTCGTGGAGCGGGGGGGTTGGGGGGGTAAATGGTGCTATTCTGACTGTGCTTTTATGGTTTTTTTGGTTCTGCTGTTTGTGTGCCCCCACCCCGGCTCCCCATTCCTTCAGCATCACCCCCCGCACACACACAAACCTGTGAGGAGCACAAGCAGCCTCCTGCGGCCACCCAGTGTCTGTTCCACCCATCCTCCCCACCCTGGGACCCCCGAGCATGGTCCCACCGCCATGTCTTAGCAATTCCCCCTGCAAGGAGTACCCCTCTTTTGCTTCCTTCCCCCCCACAACCTTCAAAACAGTGCCCATCCCTGGAGGCTTACTGCACATTGTCTTCTGGCCTCTTACTGCGAAAGCGCCTTCAGACATCATCTAATCTCACCACACATGGACCCATGGGGAAACTGAGGTTAGAAGGGAAACATTTTGCTTCTGATTCATAGTCCAGAAAAAGACCAGGGCTAGGGCTCCGGGCTGTCCGTGTGGGCTCATTCCAGCCCAAGAGTGACTTGTTATCCAGGAAGTCTTGGCCACCCCAACCCCAAGCTCAGGGACCCCTCCGCATCCTGGCTGCTCCCTGCACCTTGCCAGAGCCAGTGAGTTTGCACTGTTGTCTCTTCCCCCCTACCCCCGCTGTCGGATCACTGAGGGCTTAAATGCCTTCTTGGCTGGTTGAAATAAGCCGACCCCCAGGCCACCAACCCAAAGAATGGTGTGACAGTGGCTGTCATGTCCAGAACTTTTAACACCCACAGAGCCAGCCTCTGCCTCCCTGAGTCCTTGCAACAGCCTCCGACAGGGACGGGGAGCAGGCAGCCCCACTGTACAGATGGGGAAACTGAGGCCACCCAGGACTTGAACCCAGGTCTCTCTGCTCCAGTCTGAGGCTGTTCCTGTGGTAGGACAGGCAGAGAATCAGAGGGCCCCTGGGGGTGATGCTCCCCTGCCCCATGAACTTGGGGCTCACAAGTGGGGCTGTGGATACCAGCATTGCCCAGGACCTGATTCGAATGCAGAGTTCAAGACCCAGCCCAGAGCCTGGGGTCCCACCCATGAGCTGTGAGGCTGGGAAGCCACATTTGGCACCTCCCGGCAAAGCTCCAGGGGAAGGACAGCTCCAGGGTGGTGTGACAGGACCTTGGTCGGGGCACAGTGCAAGCTTGGACTAGACAAATCTGGGTTCAAGTCTTGGTGACCCCTAGCTGTGAGACCTCAGACAAGCCACTTCTGGTACCTGAGTCTCCATTTTCTTATCTGGAAAATGGGAGTATAACTGTCTCTATCTCCTTGGGTGGTTTCAAGGAGCCCACGGGCCAGTGTGTATTCCACCTTGAACCCAGGCCTGGTCCCCATTCTCCCTTTGGTGTTGGTGGCCAGGCCGCACGCCCCCTACTGGGCCTCCCTCCTGCCCATGCCTAACACTGGCATCCCTCACCCCCGCCCATCTCCTGCCATGGACATGGATGCCCCGAAGCTCGGTGGTGGGGGTCTGCTGGCCCTTAAGCCTGGCTCACTTCCCTCATCCCCCATATTCAGACCTCTTCCCCGTGCACCCCAGGAACCGGGAGGCAGTGTGCCAGGCCCTAAATAGGTCCCATTCCCATTGCCCAGCCCAGGTCCTTACCCATCTGTCTCCTCCACTCCCTGCAGAGGCGCGTCAGCCCTCTGTCCACAGTGCTGGTGCTGTGTGAAGCACCTGCCACCTGTCCCTCACCAAGGCCTAGAGTTCCCTTGTTAAAGATGCCCCGGTGAGCCCCATTACTACTCTCTTCTAGCACTTCCTTGTAAATGGCATAAGCCACAGGGTCATCAGCTGGTGTCACCTGAGAAAGACTTCTTGGTTCGAGAACCACTCTGGCTTCCCAGCCAGAGGCCCTCGGATAGGCGTGTAATCTCCAGCCTCAGCTGTCCCACCTGTAAGATGGGTCAAGGGGTAATGACAGCACCAATTCCTTGTACCCACCCCCAGAGCTGGGGTGGTGGTGTATAGGGGACATGGTTTTTGTGGGACATGCACCATCAGTGAGGGTCTGGGATTCCTCCCTGGGGGATGTGTATGTGTGACCTTCTACCAGTCTCATGAGTGGGTTTCCCCTCTGCTGGGAGAAGACAGGACATTTGCAATTCAAAGGAAAAGGCAAAATCCAGCCCTACCATCCTGGGGGTCTCCCTAGACCCCTCCTGCTCACTCTCTCTAGGTCTGTCTTTTCAGTCTCTGGGTCAGGAGGTATTTCCAAAGAGGACAGGGGCTGTACCCCACCCCCAGCTCTCAGGCACCCCCGGTTCTGGCAGGGAGGAGGCCAGGACCAGGGCTAGGACCAGGCCTGAGTCCACAGCTGGGGGCAGGAGCCCCTAGAAGAACCTGATGCTGAACCAGGGAACCTTATATCCCCTGAGGGAGGAGCTGTACCCCCAGAGCCCAGTACAGAGCCAGGCACACAGCAGGTATTCAATAAGTCCTCACGGATTGGACAAATGAACAAATAGACCCAGCCTTCTAGATGTCCCCACTCCCACTGCCCCCTTGCCCCCCAGGGCCAGGCAGGGGTGAAAGGCCCAGCTTAATTTTATTTAATTTTATAAAAGCCTATGGAAATGGCTTGGGGTGGGCAAGTCCCTGCTGTGTGCCCAGCCCAATCAGGCAGG